GTATGGTTGATGAAGCGCTATTCCGCTCTGCTGCGGTTTGAATTGTGTACTATCATGAAGAAGATAGTATAGATAGTGTAGTAGGTATTTATAAGGTAATCGTTTTGTTACAAAACTGCTTTATGTTACTTAAAAATTTATATTTATATTTTATACTTTTATCTATTTATCTCTATATACAGTCGCCTATATTTGGTTGAACATTTTACATTGATCTCTCTTCTTTCTTCGGATAGTTAAACAAATTTTCCTACAGGGCTCTCTTTATTCTCACTAACGTCCCTTAATATAGTTACTTGTGCACTCATATATACGGAACCACAAATTCAATAAGTTTGCATTGTTGTTGTTATCATAACATACAACCCAAAATATATGTAATATTATTATGACTTAGATATGCTATCGAAGTGTTTGTAATTATATTTCTCCCCACCAATGCTTTCTTACAGATCACCGAGGCGCCAAGGCTTGCGAACTGCGCAACGACACCGTCTTGAAGTAGTCTGTGTGGCTGGAATGACGGTGGTCTCACGCAATATTTCCTGCTTGAAGTAATTGGCGGCGATCCACTTAGCTAACGATGCGGCGTAGCTTTGCCGATGCAAATGTGGGACGACAACGAGCTCCCACCATGAATGATCAGGTATCTTACATATTGGCACATGCTTCAATATGTTTGGCTATTTGTATTTACTTGGGTATGAGTGTTGATGCACATACTGTATGATTGAGTGCAAATGAAGGCAAATATTGAAATTATATCAAACTCAATGGCTTTGTAGACAAGCTACACAGTGATATAGAGAGTTGTATTCACTTTGCACGTTTCTTGATTGGGTCATATGTGCGTGGATAGCTATTGAATGAATGTGCTCATAGAACTTGGATTTGAAGTCAATGGATGAAGAGGAGAGTTAAATTGTTTTAATATGGATAGGGCTGTTGTCTTTAAATTTGATGGTTGCTTCGTTGCCTTTATTTAAGACCAACTCAGGTATGACATACAAATTCTGTATACTCTATATAATATAGTATTGGATCCAATTTTAAGGAGGCTTTGCAGATATACACCTAAGTTTATCAAAATTTATCAGTTACCATGAAGCAACGAAACAGAGAATTATACGGCTGAATGTGTATAAAGTTATATTTATGCTACTCACATCAAAAATTTGGTTCTATATTGGGATTATATACTTATATATATTTTCTTTATAATATATTTACTGCAAATGATTAAGTATTGACTCGACTCACCATCTATCGAAAACTTTACAAAAGTCGTGAGAGACAGCAAAAATTTTGAAATATGATCATCTGTGACTTTGATCATTGAGTTCTGCCACTAATAATCCAATCAAAAAGCACCGAATTTGTAGTACGCAGAAAACGGGACATAGGATACCGTACAAAGTAGCTGAGTCGACTTTGTCATGTTTGCCGGTGTGTCTATCTATATATGAACTAGTCCCTCAGATTTTGAGATGTCAGACTGAAATTCTGTTCTTTCCAAGAAGATGCGCATTTGTCGCAATCGCCGATATCGGACCACTATAGCATACACCTGTCATAAGAACTGAACAATCTAAACAAAACAGTCCTTGCATGCAATTTTTTGTGTGAGATATCTTAACGAAATTCGACACGACATTGTTTTAGGCAACGGTACAATCTTCAAACAAATCATTCACATCGCATAGCATTAAGCTGACATTTAAACTGACCGATCAAAGTTAATTTCTTGTATAATTATTCGTGAAGGCTATTATCACTTTGGTGCAATCGAAAATTTCTTGTTAAAGTATTATACCTTTTTTAAATTTTTTTTCAAGAAATCTTAAATCACTTATCAAAATTATTAAAATAAAATCATAACTTTCCAATTGCATGCCTTACCTTTACCTTTTTTTACCACCAATAATATTTAACATGAAACAAAAATTAGTAAATTATTTTCGGCTCTCGGTTGAGCAATTAATTCAGCGTAAGAAACGGACTAACCATGAGGAAAACTTGAATATAAGATATTTAGAGCATATTGTCTTAAAACATTTTGAAAGCTTAGCTCAATACAATTATAAAAAAGGCCAAATTTGTAGACAAACTTTTCAAAGGCCAGCTGCCTTGTCACATAAGCTCAACACTAACAAGAGCAAATTGAGAGATT